AAAATCCAATAGATTTCTTTCCACTTCACAATTGTGTCCCACTTGTTGGTGATTCTTCACATAAAATAAAAAAATTATATCTTTATGTTTGAAGCCTGAAATGTGGCAAAAGGTTGAAAAGTTCAAGGGGGCCGAATACTTTCGCAAGGCACTGTAACAGGTTAGAGTGTTTTCCCACTTTTTCCTTTTCTGTGTAACTGCCCTGCTTCGCCCCACTCTTACAGCCCTGTGCCTCTGTGAGTCTCTGTGGCTAACACGTTTCACACAAGTCTATCGTTTTAACACCTTGTGCCTAATTAAACAAGGCAGGCAAAGAGCCATGAAAAATCTTAATGGATACATCTTAAAAACAACAACATATGAAGAAGGCTCCATGGCCGAAACGTTGTGTTGTCTTTCTTATTTTTTTCAGCATGGAATAAACCTATTACTTGTTCCTTTGCAACATATTTCATGTGTGCCTAGGGGTGACAACACCTTGCCACTCAAGGCCAAAGGTCGTTCTACCTTCTCCTGACTGCGAATGGAATTCATACTGTTGTACACATAGGAGTGTGCTTCTCTTTCAACATTTACCACATAATACTGTATGCAGCCTTGCCTGTACTGCACTGCAGTAAGTAGGTGCATTAATAAAACATAAAGGGTACTGACTGCAGAATAACCAAAAATAGTATTATACTGAAATTCTGGAGTTTCCATGCTGGTCTGAGGTGATTATTATAGAACCTAATTTCTTAGCTGCACTGCAGGTCGAATTGAAAGTGCATGATGTGCTCCTAAAAGAATAGACTGATCTTTCAGCTGGAGTGGAAGCAGGAGAAATTTTTGTGAAATTAATTTATGCATAAAGATTTATGAGTATTTATCAGGTCGTAGCCCAGCTGGTAATTCCTACCACTTATGGCCGGTAGTGAATTTCAAATTCTCAATGGTCAAATACTTAGAAAGCTATGTTGGGAGAAAACATTTCCTCTTGGGGAAATGTTTCAGGTACACAAGTATTCTGCATGCTTTAGATATAATGAATAGCCCAATATATTTGGTGAGACAAAAGTTAGAAAATGTTTTACCTTTTGCTAGCAGTGGAAATTGTCGATTTTTAGGGCGAGAATTGCAGGTTCTTGTTGAACACCAAAGAACTGAGGAAATTGTTCTAGCAGCTGTTTTTATAACTGAATTAATATTCATGAAAGAAATCTTTCTTTAACAGTTTTTGTTAAGTGGTATTCTTTTTTTCCCCCACAAAGGGTCAACCTGACAAACGTGGTGTGTTTTTTTCCCCCTTATGGTGCTGTATCTCTGTAGTCATGTCGTAATCTGCTCTTCTCTGCCTTTGCAGCCTGTAACAGAATGGCTGGGATTAGTCTGCTCTAAGCAGCCCTGCTGTCAGGCTGTGCGTTTATTCAGACACAGCCATAGTGGGTCATCCTGTTTCAGACCAGACTGGCCTATTTCTCAGCTTTCTGTCAAGAAGATCAACGTTTTTCCCCCTTTCATCAGGTCAGCTTCCATGACACATTGCTGAACCTCAGATGGCCTTAGAAGAGAATAGAAGAGGGTCTGTGCCCTGTGTGTTCTTCTGCTTAGAAGTTGCAAAACCAATTTTGAACCAACTGCTCTTCTTTTTGAAAATTGGAAAACAGAAACTCTGCCCACACTCAGCTCCACCTACAATCACCCCAAATCCAAACACTCCACCCAGGCTTGAAAGCAGTGCTGTTGGATACAACAGACACCACCTTAGTTGGTTCTAAAGTGAGGGAGGATGATAGTTTTGTATTGAGAGGAGTGAATTTAAAGGGGTCTTATCCTGCAGATGTAACAGGCTTTTTTTTCCCATGTGAATTAGTACTATGATAAAAAATGCTAGGATTACTGGCAGACGTGTGACCAAAAAACAGGTTTTGTGAATTTTTCCTGGCCATAGATATCAAATGAAAGGTGTGTACTTTGTTTACCTTTTATTTTTAATGTACTTGACTTCACAAAATATACCTTGAATGACATCCTGTCATTAGAAGTTAATCATGATCACCATTAGCTACCATGGAATGTTTCTAGTATAGATTGCTGTATCAACCTGTTCTTCATTACTGGCTTATAAAGAAAAGGATAGTGTGAAAATCTTAATAGAAAAATGTTATGTATATATTTGGTACAAAATGCTACAGAAGCCACATAAAAAGAGAAAGCATTCAGCCATAGGACAATTACTGTACGTTTTTATTTGTTATAGAGGATTATAAATCTAAACATTCAAGGTGTTTTATCAATTCGTTCCTCCTATGTCAGAAACATTGATGCTTTTACTTTATTATGTTTGTTATATTTTCCCACTCAAATTTTAAATATTTTTTATTTAATTGTTTTTTAAACAACCATGCCACATAGATGTTATTGTGGCACATAAAATCTGTGCTATGTTCTTTATCTTAACTCCCACATTTGTCAAATCAGTCGAGATTAGTTTATTTGAAATTGTAGGACTAAAAAAACCTACTTGAAACAAAGGTATTATAATAGTAATGGTTGTGTAAAAAAGATTTCACAATTATTGCTCAACATAACTTGATAATCATAATATAAAATATATACATTTTTCCAATGTTGGAAATTGTAATGTATTGTGCCAAACATTTTGGCTTAGCAGTCTTTTTTGTGATTTCATTGTGATTTCTAGTCTTTTATGTTTAATGCTTTAGTATGTTGCTTTGTAACTGAGGTGTGAAGAGAGAGAGTCTGAAAGAAGTAAGAAGTTTTTTTTCAGTGAAATCTGAAGACAGGCATGGTTAAATAATTAACATGCTTACACAGAAGGATTGTGAACTGTAAAAAGACAATGCAATAAAGAAGACCAAGCCCTACGTCTTTGAGCTACAGTAGGCAAGATGAAGTGCTAAAAGGCATAATGTTCCATGGTGACTGGTGTTACACGTGTTTAATAACTCAAGGCGATGAAATCTCAATGGGCAGGAAGACCTGCTACTTCTAATGTGTCAACCTGAATACTAGAGTAACATGTTAAGATACTTGAGACTCCCATACCCTGACCTGTTCAGTATAAAGTCAGTCACTGTGAAAATATACCCAGCTTAAGTTGTTGAAAATGTAACTTCAGTCAACATGGAATTGCACTGTATGCTTTTTCTTTCCGTTCTTCTTGATGCATGTTCTCTTCTGTAATATACACTGCACTTTCTAATAAATTCACATGCTGTCTGTTTAAACTCATGCTATGTATTCTGGCTTCTGTACTGAATATCAGCAGGATGCCTGGAAACTCCAGTGGCGTGTCCAGGTTGAGTTTCTTGCTGTTAAGTGCAGCGTGAACCTAATGCATCGAAACGAAGTCTTTTCATCACTGGCATCTGATATTCATGATTTTCGATGCCATTCCTAGAATTTAAAGTTCGGTCTTTTTGATTCTCAGTTCCTGCTTACATCCTGCTGCGTTTGTGGGTTCTGACTGAGTTGTAGTCTGATGTACTGTAGCTTCTCCTGGGATTGTGTATACAGCCCTACCTTTTTCAATGTAAAATTGCTCACTGGGAGAGGTCTTGTGACTAACCGTGCGGAAATGAGATGCAGATGTGCGTAGCACAGGGCTTCGTAAGTTGAGCTACGTTTATTTGCCTTGTCCACATCACTCCATCTCTGGCAGCTTTGAGAAATCTATCCACACTCATTTTTGATCCTGGAAGTTTTATCTACGTTGACAAACAGTCATGCAGAGTAGTGGTTCCCAACCCTGGTTCTAAAGTACTCCGTTGTTGTTTAGTTTTTGTTCGAACCATGTAAAAACAGCAGAAAATGTAGAAATAAGCCCATTATTACTTCAGTACTCTAAAATAAGTAGCAGAGGAGGTGATCCCTCCTGAACCACTGGCTTAGGGAAAATTGAGATACAGACTTTAAAACTGAGAAATTTTGTTCTGGAAAATAGGAAACTGTTATCTCATTGTTATCTTTGAAAATATTTAGTTTTCCGTTTATTGTATATAAAGTACCTGACAGTTGCACTCCTAAAGCTTATGTTGGAGTGGAAATGGAACTTTAGTCAGCTTATGCCCTAAGAACCTTCATGCACTCTAGTCACTCTACAGCAGTAGTTTTCTAACAAGCAACCACTGGGTGGAAGCATAACATCTGTTAAAGTTTGAAGCTACATTTTAATGGCATGTTTCACTAAACCGGCTTACACGTTTAACTGCAAGTGTGTCTTTCTTGTTGTAAGGAAGAGATGAGCTCTGTCTGGCTGTCAGATTCGTTTAACTCCTCCCTGATGCGTCTCAAATAAGCGCTGTCAGCCAGTTGATAATTAAACGATTGCGCCATTAGCAACCATTTTTTTAAGTATATTGCCCTCATGCTACCATATTGCATTTTCTTACTAATTAACTAGATAGCTGTTATGACAGATGATATGATGGCACACCAGCTGCCAGTCTCAGCGTGTCTCTGTCTGGAAAGTCATGTGAGCTGCGGTTCACTCGCATGGCCTGTGGCTGTGAGATAGGGGGTATCTTGTTGATGTAAGGGGCCTCCTGGGAACTAGTGAAATCTAACTTTTCTTAATACCTTTCTTTGAAAGGGGGCTGAATTAAATTTTAATATACAGTCCCACTTGAATAAATTAAAGATAATTGAGAATTTGTTGTCGGTCAGTTATGGAATTATGGAAAATAGGTGAAGCGTGGTGGGTAGTGCTGTTCCTCAGAGTTGGGGGGAACCTGGGTTCGATTATGGCCGTGCAGAATTGCTCCTACTGCAGTTTCATTCACTGGTGACCATGAAAAAGAGAGTTGGGCAATCTGTCCAAGTTCTCTTCCCTGTCGAAAGCACCTCTGGTGTGTCTCTGTTTGTTGTGTGAAATCAGGTGCATGTGACATACGGTAGAGAGTAAATTAGAATCACATTAATAGACGTGTCATGTCATGTGATTTGCCAATCCGCTTTAAACCATACAGTGTTGTGGGAAGCTGAAACCTACCCGGCAAGCAATGAGCCCACGGCAGGGTACACCCTGGATGGGTCTTCAGCCCATTGCAGTTAATAGTCATGTTTTTTTTTAATGAATTGATTATTCCAGTAAAGACACAATTCCTAAAATAATTCAATAAAAAAACATTTTTACACAGTAGGTGGCTTGAATTTGGGATTTGATTTGATTTTAGTTCTTTCTTTCAAATGAACAGTACAAAGTTTCAACCTGTTTTCCTGGCACCATCCATTGTTTATGATTATCCTATTATTTTTGTTAGGCTGTTATAGACTGAGGTCCAGCTCAACGCAGCAAGCCCCAAATTTCAACCCAGTGTGCATTTTCCAGAGCTTTAATAAGGGTTGAGAACTGATGGAGTGTTGCTGATAATGACTGAGCTCATAGTTGCCCAGCCAGCGATCTGCTTCACGCCTTCGCTGCTGCCATCTCACTTTAGTCTTGCCAGCCCTTGGCATCCTTCCAAAAGCTCTCAGCCGGGATGGGCTTGTGACATAGCCTGGATGTGAACTTGCAGCCTCCAGGTTAAAGGACACATTCTGCTTTCACAGGTTTTGTTTTTTTGTACAGGGATGTCAAGTACCCTAATCAGAAATTAGTCTAACAAACAGAGGGCTCCCACAAAGGATACAAAACAGAATTTTACAAGTGATGTGGAATTGACAGCTGCTTTTGCCAGCCTGAATCTATGGGTAACACTGTGATCTCTTTTCCTCCCTCCAGGGATCACGACTGAGGACAATGAAGTTGTGACGGATCCACCAAGCCCACGACTAGGAGATGGGAGCAAACACGAGCCGCGTGAACGATCTGTCAGAGAACAAGAACCTTAGGACCTTGATTGGGACAGAACCCATCTCGGAGAATGATCCCTTCTGGAATCAGCTCATCTCCTTCACCTTTGCCAGTCCTACCAATAGGTAAGAGCTTTGTCCAGCATTAATGAGAGCAGTGTTTTTCTTTCTTGGAAGAACCCATTTAGAGGATACCCTTGGCTTAACTATGAAGATATTCTTCTACCGCCCCTGATCATCAAGGGGGTGATAGTAAATGTTATAAAATCTTAGTTCAGTGGTATAAATAATTAACATTTTTTACGGAATGAACTGGGAGTTTTTTTTGCTCAAGTCAGACAAAAACTTACAGTCCAAACTACAAATATAAAACGGTCTTGCTGGTGCATAATGGCAGCTTTGCATCATCATTGTGGGTGCTTCAGGTCAGTAGTGGGTAAAATGGGTCCCGTTCTGTATGTATTCTCAGATCACCCTTTTGGCTGAAGGTGGTAGGTGGGGTGGGTTGTAATATACTGCTTGGTCCTTTATCAAGCCATTGAATATGCAGGAAATTACATTAAGATCCACAAACCTTACTCATAATTGGGGAAAGGTAGCTTTTATTTAAAGTTGAATAGGCTATAATTTTTCATTAGTCTAGTTCCGACTGCAGCTGTACGCCAGAATATACAGTTTGAACCACAAACCAAAACACATTAGTGCTCTTTAACTTGCCATATTCATTTTGCCTTGGGGTCTGTTTTGTGCTGCTTAGAAAGACATTAGTGCATGAACAGAACATGACTTTTCTGTCATGTTTATATAACAGATCCTGGAAAGAAATCTGAATCTTATATCTGAAACGTTGTCAGTGATTTTTTTAAAAACATCTCTGGTGTTGACAAGAAAGGTAAAGTGACTGTCTGCTTCAATGATAAACCTTATCTATCACCATATAATAATAATAAACTTTATTTTATATACTGTAGCACCTTTAAAGGTGGCTTCTCAAAGTGCTTTACAGATTGACAACAACAATAAAAAAAGAATACACAAGATACATATGGCAATTAAGACAAAAATGAAATGGAAAAAACCCTTTTAAGCAGCAAGGCTTTTTCCTAGAGGGAAGTAATTTGCACCAGGGTATAGTAGTGTTCCCTCTATGATTTGGGCCACAACCCTCCAAATACAGACCCAGAGTGCTTTTCACTGCTCTGCACTGCTCTGACTTGTCATTCTACGATACTTTTGGCTTTGCCCACTTTCTACTCTGCATACAATATAAAAGGCATAGCAGCAACTGTTGTAAGAAAACATTAGAATCCATAGGGTGCTGCTGTGAATGGATAAAGCTTGGAGCCTTTCATTCACTTTAGCTCTGAGGGCTAAACTCTGCAACCTTACAAGGCCACTGCAGAAAATAGTTTGATCTTCTTCCAAAGACTAGTCTGTGCTGCACAACCGGGCAGTTGTGTAGACAGATTCGAGGCCGAAAGAGCAAGAATCACTGGGACTGGCATTGAAATGTCCCTTTCACCCCAAAGAGGGTTATTCCCCAAACCTATATGTTGTTAAACAGTGTAGGGATTTAGTGCATCAGTGAGCTCGTCTCATCTTCCTTTAACTAAGGGTCATATTCATAAACCTGCCATTGCTGTGCTACTTTACAACCCATTATTTTCTTACTCTGAACACAGTTGACAGGCGTGATATAAACCTTTCAGGATGCTGACTTCAAAATGACTGCATGTCATGTGCGTTTTGTGACATTGCTTCTCTGAACAGGCAAAGGAGTATGCATTGAGGTTTCATGAGAAACGTTCAGACACAGCAGGAATTTCCAAGGCAAAGACAGTGATCAGCAGCTGAACATTCCTTACGTTCAGTTTTCTTCAGTTCATTTTTAATGCATGCTAGAAAGACTATTTTTCAGTTTGCTCTATAACATATGAAAAAGAATTGCAGGTCCCTTGGAAGGCTGCATTTTAAATAAGTCAATCTACACAATGTGAAATTCAATTTATTGAAAGACACTGTAGATTTCTATCTGCAGAACCAGGAGACTCAAAAAGCAGTGGAACAGCATTTCGCAAAGCAGTGTCTGTGTGTATCCTCAGACCTAGAACAGGTAATCCAGTAGGGGGCGCGTAATCTTCACTTAACAGTGCTTTTTGTCAGAGTTTTATTGGGGAACCTTGATACTGGATATACCACATTTGTGCACATTTCTTATAAAACAATATAATTAATAATTTGGGCGAATGCTTATTTAGCCTTGGAAAAGTAATTTAAAATGTATTATTTCAATTGTTTAGAGTTGGATTTAATTGATAGCACCTTTTACACAAATGAGAAGACAGAAGGTATCTTAATTTTCCCTTTTGCATATTTCCTCCAAAGAAAATACAGAAAATAATTATATCTTTTTAGGATGCTCCAAAGCATTGTATCAAAACTTTAAACTTATTTTATATCTCTTTTGATACGTTTCATGCTTCTGTTTTTCGTAGTTTTTTTTCTTCTGACTTATTTTCTATTGCCCTTCTCAGACCTCTTTGTATTTATCACAGGTTCATCAAGTTTGTTCTTTGAATTGTACAAGGAAGTGGCCTTGTGGCAGGCAATTCACATCTGCTTCTTCAAAGGCTGTTAAGAGTGACTGGCAGTATCGTCCTTCATATTTAAAAAGATGTGCATTTACTTGGGCGTCGTGGTGGCTCAATGGACAGTTCCGATTGCTGCCTCGCAAGGCTGGGGCACTGGGTTCAATCCTGGCCCGCGGGTGCTTTCTGTGTGGAGTTTGTATGTTCTTGTGGGTTTCCTCTGGGGGCTTCAGTTTCCTGCCTTACGCCCTTTGCTTGCTGAGATCCAGTTCCAGTTCCCCTGCGAACCCTGTCTCGGCTAAAGAGGTTCGAAAATGCGCATGGAATTCTTTCTAAGATGTGCAACCCCGCTGCAGGAATTGAAATTGCTCTTGTGTCTTTGATTTCCTTCAGAATTTCCTTTGAGGATGACGCATTAAAGACATCCTCGTCGGTAATCTGAGCTGGTCCACTGTTCTCTGCTGTTCGGAAATGAAATTTTGGGCCTGTATTAGGACAGTCTTTCTTTCACATGGCCATTAGATGGCATTGGTGTACTGCGCTCCCACATGTTTAATGATGCATTGCAGTTTGGGCTTTTGAAGAAGATGAAAGAAGAATTGAATTTTTCATGGTGCAGATAAAAAAAAAAACCCCAAGCAAATTCTAATTTGAAATTTCCTCACTTCACTAACGTTATTAAGTCTGTTCTAAATAAAACACTGATGGCGGTTTTCTATTTAGTGTTTTAGATTGATATTTCATAGCTGTCACTGCAGCTTGCTGCTTTTAAGAGTTAAATCTTATATTGCTTCTTTATTGAGTGCCATGTCGGTGAAGTTTTATAAACACCTAATAAACCCATTGTATGCACAGCAGTGAGCAATCCAGTCGTTGCATTTAATTACTGATTATGTAAATTAAAAATATAGTTCACTTTTATTCAAAGGATTTCTGTATCGGCAGTGCAATGAATAAAGTTAATGCCAAGAACATTTACTGCTGACATTCAGCATTTTGTTCATGTTCTGAAATCAGCATTTGGGGAAAAATGAAATGCTCAGTCTCTTCTAAATAAAGCGCTGACATCTGTATTCTTTTTACTGCTTCGTTTCAACCCTTCCTCCAAGGATTTTAATCAACCACCAGATTTATTTGGGAGTGATTGTAAATTGATTTTGAAGACCCTGGGTTTATGGTCCTAGTGATACTTAGTCATTATGCTTTTGATTCAGTACCATGAAGGTCTTACAATCATTTCTAGCAGAATTCTGTCTTTCTATTATTTGCCCTTTGGACTGTGATTACCTGTGTTTTCAATCTGGGCTTTATTTACCAGATTTCTTAGTGTATGTTTAAACTACCTGTAATATCGCTCTTCTTACCTGTAAATGAGGGTACAGGGTTTATCAAAAATGTTTATTAATATTTGGTCACAAATGGTCACTAGTTTTGTTTAAATATTGGTTGATCTTAAATGAATGTTGACCAAAATGGAGGTGCATCTGAAAATTTCAGGCTAAGAAATTTATCATACTGCCTATTTCACATCTGTGTTCCCCTTAACTAGCAGGTTTGGATAACGAGTCCTCATGTGTGATTGCTTGTTGAAAACAGCCAAAAGAGACTGCTTCCAAAGCAATGGGTGTGTCCTCGTTGTTTGGGAAAGTAGGAGAGTTGATAGAAAAGTTACATAGATCCATGCTAAACTTTGTCCATTAGGCAGCTGACTTAATGGAGCAATCCATGGCCCTTTGAAAATTGAATTTTGAGACCGTAATATGCAGATTTCCTTTGGGAGTTGTTGTTTTTTTTTTGGTTCTGCAACATTAGGTGTTTACTTACAGTTATGCACAAAACTGGAGGTTTGTAAAAAAGGTTCATAAAAAGCAATTATACAATTGCCTTTCTGGTTTCTGGTCCTGTAGTATATATAGTGTTTTGTTTATCCTGTAATTAGATTACCCTGTTATTGTTATGCTTCTTTTACCTTTGCTTAATTGTAGTAATTATCTTACACATAGTCAGTGATGCTTCTTAACTACTACCTTACTGGACTCACATGTTACCTTTTTATTTTTTAAAAAAAGTACAAAACTTAGATTTTGAATGACATGACATTTTAGTTTTTAGTAGGCTTTTTTTCCATTAGTACTTCTGAATAGCCTCACTGAACATACAAATCCTAATTAATTGCCAATTTTTACCTGTAAGTCAAATGTGCTTTTACTCATTTGTTTAAATTACAAGTTTGACAGTTGTACTTATTTTGAATTTTTTTTAATCACATTAAGATCTTGTGTTGATTGGCGGGGAGGCGTCTTGCTCAGGTGGTGGATAAAATGAACCCTGAGGGATTTCTTTTCTCTTGCAGTGCTGATGCAAAGATTTTGGAGGAAGCCATCACCCCACTTGCCAAGAACCTGGGTATGTCCACACCTTTTTAATAAAACAAAACTTTATTTATCCCAGTATATAACTCTAGTTCAGGAGGTGACGAGATGAGAAATGAGAGAGAAATGAAAAATAATGCTAATGCATTTCAGTGCTGTCAGAAGGTCTTTCAGCATAAACCTTTATCATAACAGAGTTTATAATTCGTTATAGTATTGTCCCATATTATTTTGTTAAGAGCCAAATGCTGTATTTATTTGTGTTTGTTTCCCCTCATTCCTCTTGCTTTTTTGCTTTTAGTTGAGAACAATCCAAGAACAGGAAACTTTGGGAGCCTTGTGAGAATTTTCCTGAACAGAACCAAAGAGCTGAAAATATCCACAGAATGTCAAGAGTAAGTATATAGCAAAGAAAAGAAGAAAAAGCTGCAGGCTCTGATGTCTTTCTTTCTTTTCATCCCTGACAACAGGGAACTTGTTAGCTAAGTTCTGCTACAGTAATTGGAGGGCTGTTGTTAAATAAAGATACAGTGGTTATTTATTTTTAGAGCCATCATCCATAAGGCATGGTTTAAATCCCATTGCTCATGTAACCGGAATATTTGTGCCATTTGTGAAAACACAGTGAACACGAAAGGTCCATGTGGTTCTTCAGTAGGAGATGAGAACTTTAACAGATTTTGAAGCGACCACAGAGAATGATGAGAGAATGGTGCCACTCCCATTGTGTTTGTGCCCGGCAGGGCTGCTTTGCCTGAAGGCAGAAGCTATCGAGCATATTCGCACACTTCATGTTTCCTGAGGGGGCTGGCTATTCTTGTTTCGGCACTTCCATTGCTTCCTCCAGCCTTCTCTCCCAAGGACAGATGTTGAAAGCTGTTGAGCTGAATGGCCACTGTAGACTGAAGCTCCTTTATTGGTGAAATCGCAACAACATTTTACCATGTCCTCGAGTCCTGTGATGGGGGTGAATCATCAGTATAAGAACTCGTTCTTGACCTCGGTGCAGCACAGAGAGGGACTCATTTCTGACATTAGTTGTGCGCCATTGGGGGAAACATGTTGGGCATCCAAATATATAAGCTGAAATTCAGTTTGCTGCAGTTTGTTTGATTTTTTGTGTTCAGTTTGCATCGTCATATTTTGCTGTTTGAGTTGAGTTTTACTGCATTACAGTAGCATAAAGTAAGATGCCAGCAAACTGCCTCGATTTGTTTTCTTTTAGGAGTGTCACACCTTTATTTTCCTTCAGTGTCAAAGCTTGAAGTGGCACTAACCTGCAATAAAAAGCAGGAAGTTTTGTTTTTAACTCCCAGTTGCAGGCTAAGCTGCATTTAATCTGCGTATTTGCCATTTATATGTATTTGTTTTAAATCAGTCAACTTCTGTGACATCCGAGGGCAGTAAATTATTAACAACTACACAGATAAAAGCTGTAAAAAAGAAAGGAAATTCTATACTTGATTAGTGATTCTCGTATACAGTCTGTACCTCCTCAGTGGATGCTTATCGAATCTGTATTCCTGCCTGTGCAATTCCTAAGTAAAACCATATAACTACAGAAATAAATACCTTGTTTATCTAAAGTGTAAGAATATCTCACCTGCACTACAATGCAATAATAGTTTATTTATGATTGTTTGAGTATGTAAATGCTTTTACTTTCATGTCACTAGAAGCAAAAGCAAGATGCAATTTTTTGTATAAGGATGCTCTTGAGGAGGGAATAGGGAGAATCCAGTTTGTGCTTGTTTTTTTTTCTGAGTGTAACTTCTTAGGGCCAAATTGGCTTGGACTGACACAAGAAGGCATGCAACAGTATAATAATTTACAACAATAATTGATCTTTGCACAGCGCAGTTCATGTTACCCTGACAGTGGATCCCTGATGTAGTATCGTTTAAAATAGGTTATACAGTGCAAGTACTTGCGGTCCCATCTGACTTCATACACAGTGATACTTTTTAAAGATTGTCTACATTTTGGAAACTATCATTTCCAAGCTATGTAGTATCTAATGGAGGCTCTACTGCTGATGTGGATTTCCAAAGTGTTTCTATTACCTATGCATATACAGTAATTATGCATATAGCACAGAAAAGTGCCCAGTGTTTATATAATGCTTTATACATACTGTAGCTTGTCTTGTAATCCGGTTGATGAAAACTAAAGAGACCTCATGATTCAGAACTTGCATGGGGACTTCCGGTGGGGAGGAAGTGGGCTTGTTGCTCATCCATAAGGATTCCTGGATATGCGTCTCCCTGGCCTGAGAGGCAGCCGACTGGAACAATTGAGGCCGCATCAGAAGCAGACACCCTGGCTCCAGCTTCGCCAGCTCATGCCTCACCACGCAGGAGCCCCCTGGAGCCAGCGTGTGATTAAAGGCTTAAATAATACATTGTAGTGAAATCCACTGCTTTCCTAGGGTGCGAGACAAGTGAGAGAAGCACGAACTCGTGCACGGCAGTAACCGATGCCCCAGCAGCTGGCGAATGGGAGAGGGTCACAGGTGTGGATGCCAGGTGTTGCGCTTCTTCCAAGGGGAGCTGCTGGGCTTTCTGCAAGCCGCACAGAGCTTTTTCCTCTTCTGTGCAGACGTAAAGCTGTATTTAATTGTTTGTCAAAGCCAGCTCTACTGCCAAATGAACCCTTTGGGTTGTTAGGAATTTGTGTGGTGCAGTCCAAATAACAGAAGTACAAAGACCTACAAAAAGAAGAGAAAGAAAACTCATAAATAACATAGACCTATCATATAGAAAATACGTTGGTCATAAAGCCTTTCAGCACTAACAGTCCTTGTCTGCAGCTGTTTCATAATAGAGTTTATAGTTCATTATACTATTACCCCATATTACTATGTCAAGAGCCAAACCCTGTATTTATTTGTGTTTACATTTACCCTTGTGTGTGTGACGGCCTTGATTTCCAAGAACTTCAACTGCATCCTATTTTAGTGTACAGATACCAAACCCTTTGTAGATAAGGATGCACGTGGACTTTTGTGCTTATCATGTCGTGTTAACTGTTTTTTCCACATGGCATTACGTTAGTGTGGCGTTTAGTGCTGCCGCCTTGCAGCTCTTGGGTCCTGAGTTCGATCCCAAGCTAGGGTGCTCCCCGTGTTGTTTGCTCTGGATGTTCTGGGCTCCTCCAAAGCCATGATGACCCGGGTAGCTGGCGTCTCTAAATTGTTTCCGGTGTGAGTGAGTGTGTGTGTGTGCTCTGTGATGGACTGATGTCTACACTGCAGTGGGGACCTGCCTTGTGTCCTGTTCCTGCCAGGTTAGGTCCCCACAACCCTTTAAGTATAAAAGCGGTTCCTAATAATGTATAGATGCACGTTTGTGGTACTTCAGTATAGATTGCATTCAACTAAATAGCATTACATTCATTACGCATTATTTACTTTAATTTTTCTGGTCTGTCGTTGATGTTTAATGTCAATTAAAATACAGTCTTCTACGATGCTGGTGTTCATTATTACCTCTGAACAGAGTGGAAACTGTGGAAGTCATAGGCAGAAGTGGGTCAGTGACCTTCCATGCAAAGATTTTGTTTTCCTTGTAATTGGCTTGTCTTAGATTCCTTTTACAGGAGACACTAACACACCAGGGAGGTGACTGTGTGGCTGTAATCAGTGTGTGTGCGTTGGTGAGGTCAGAAACTGGAATTCATCCTTCCTTCCTGAAATTTGTAAAAAAAACACAGGGCATTCCCCTTACTGCTGCATCAAGGGATTTTGTTCCCCTAAACGGGATGTTTGAATGAGACTCTTTGGCCTGCTAACCAGTATATGACAACTAATATGTTTTATTGTACAAATACCATAAAAGACAGGACTAAAGAAGGGTCAAAGGACATTTTTTATAGTTATCATAACATTGAATTACCTAAACACCTTTGTGTTATAGCTACATGAGTGTTTGACTAGTGCTCTAACACTTCCTTAAGCTGGATACTGTTTTGTATCCTTCTGTTATTTATGTCCGTTTTTCAAGTTAATACCATACTCCCCATCTCTGAAGATATAATGCCACAGAATCAGCCATATAATAAAACATTGTTTTATGTTATAGTTGCAATTTATACTTTTATACTTGGGTTGAATTTTAGATCTTGATTTTAGGTTAGTAGTGTTCTTAGTTCTCTCAAGTTTCTTAACTCTTTTTCTTCTGTTTCATTGCATGTGAATGTGTGCAAAAGGTATTTTGGCTCGTCGTAAGTCTAATGCTGTCATCTTCTTCGTACTTTTCCAGTCAGCTTTTTATCTGGCAAGCCCACAATACACTGTTCATGATCCGCTGCTTGCTGAAGGTTTTCATGAGCCAGATGACAGAGGAGGAGCTGCACTTACAGTTCTCCTACCAGAAGAGGGAGCCAGGCACGTGTGGTAAGCCTTGTGTTAACAGCAAATCTCTTTCAACCAATACCACTCTAACTAGAGTGCTTCCCATAGTGCGCATGATAGGCTAAACACTTTGATAGAAGTGAAGAGTTTTCAGGAGAGGATAATGGACACATTGGAGGAATGATTGAAAGACATTACTGCAACAGGTTTTTGCCCAAACCTTAGTATATAAACTACAGTGGGTCAGATAAATACAATCTCACTGATTCATTTATGTGCATTTTTGTTGTGGTAAAAATATTAAACATTAGATTTCTCTAGAATTAAGCTGGTAGAGATTTTTTACCTGCTTGTGCTTCGGATATATAGGATCCACACTTAAGAACTAATAGATTTAATTAAAGTTTATAGTAGAAGCATAGATACAGTATGAACTTAAAATGGTGAAACTTCCTCAGTTTTTCTCTTTGCCAAGCACCTGCTCTTGGCTTAACTTTGAGAATAACATGGGAATTGAGCCAAACTAATCCACACCTCATGTTTTTCTAAAATGGCAGACTCTTTTTTTGTCAGAATTTTCAGGAAAACAGCTAAGAAATAAAGTGAAAAGGTCTTTGTATATAATCGCAGGAAGCAGCATTGCAAACTGGTGATCCTAGTCTGATCTGAGCTTGAAGCCAAGGAGGGCTGGGCCTGATCAGTACAAGGGTGAGAAACCCCTGAGGAAAAGCAGGTTACTGCTGGCTTGGTGGATCCATGGATCAGTGGACCACTCTGCTGTAGAAATGTGTTGTCCTTTGGGTGAGATGTGAAACTGAAGTCCTGATAACCTGATAAATGTATTTTGAAAAGAGTTATCTTATTTTAGTAATTGCTGTAGAATATTTTTTCTTATCCAGGCTGCAGTTTATGTTGGACACATTGGAATAACCTCAGTAAATGTGAGCAAGGTGTGTTGTAAAGTAGAGATGTATAGTTTTTAATCATATAAGTAATTGTTATTTAAAAAATAAAACACTACATCGCTGTTGGGTGGGTTTTTTTCAACAACTGATCACATCAAATATGCGCCATTGAACTGAATAGCTTACATGGGGGTTTAGTTTCTACATGGAATAATTGAATGACCGATTGGAATAGTTTTTTTGAGATTTTGGTATGGAGCATTGAGAAAGTAGAGTAGTGAAGTGGTCGTCCTCTCCTTGTGAGATCAAACATCATCCGGCATCAATAAAATTGCACCTTTAGCAAAAGACTGAAAACTGGCGACAAGAAGGTTTCTGTTTTCGCTGGCTGCTTCTCCTCAGCTCTGTGGCTGAAGCGGTCGGGATCAAGCCTGGCGAATGAGTCAACAGTTGGCTTGTGCCCAGGGCTGCTGCGTGTGAGCACGTGTGTGAGCTCGTGTGTCTGCTCATCTTTATTTTTTTTGTAGTGTTGCGAGTTTGGAGTGAGGTTACTGATTCAAACAAGGTCCATCAAAGTGAAGAAACACAGGGTCAGCGTCGACTTTGGCCCTTCTGTAGCTCTTTCTCCTGAGACCTGCTCTTTAATGAGAAACGATGTCATGACAGTACGCCTTGTGCGCTCTTGGAACGGACTCGATATTTGAGGAGATGCGGGAAACACAAGCCTGGCTTGAGATTGTATTTTTCTGTCAGTCTGTCCCTTAGTCTTTCAATTTGTTAATTTCTAAAAGAGAGCAGAGTTTTATGTTCTTCTCAATATTTCAGGCATACCATACCTTATACAGAAAGGCAGATTACTTTACCATCTTTTGAAGAAAAATAGTTTTGTGTTTGTCTGTTGGAATAACCATGTCTGAGCTCAGTAAGCCCTTGGTGCTGTTCTGCTTTAAAGTAGACTTTATAAGAGACTCAGTTCCCTGTGTTTTCAGGATGAATGGCAGGTTAGGAATGAATGCTGTTTTCTCTGTCTCTGTCTCTGTACCAATTGGAAATTATACGTGGAGCAGTATGAAGACGCTTTCTGTGATTTCTGGAGACGGCAATAAAATGGAAACAGCAGTCAAATTGTGGATCTGGAATAGAAAGGAATAATTGCATTAATATTGTCCATTGTTTTTTTTCAAACGTTTATTGTGAACAGCTGGTTTCCTACTGTCTGTTTAAAGTATAGTAGATATGAAGATGAGTAGACAAAACTTTGAAATTCAACCCTTGCAATTAGCTTAGCATGAGGCTCCCTTGCTCTACATTTTTAATAGGAATTTTACTGCCAGTTCTGGTGACCTGGTCTCCTTAAGATTATGAGGCTTCAAATACACATTTCTTTTTAAATTTAGATCAGCAATACAAGATATTCAGCATTAATACTGGTTACATAGAAATCCCCTTAAAGAGCTCTTGCCATTCCTGGCCTCCTCAGCAACTAAACTCTTTGATTCTCAGACCATTACAAGTTCCATAACCCCTTATGTCTTTGCTGGGACTGAGTTTCTTTTTATGTTCTGTGCCTTAGAGGGTAAACCTGCTTACAGTCAAAACCAATGCAATGCACTGGTATGTTTGTGGTGGAGCAATAGTTTTTTAGATGCTTAATTGTAACGATCTGTGGGCACAGTGATGAAACAATTCTCTTTCTTTGTTCCATAGCTTCTGAGAAAGAGGACCTGCTGGAGGAGATGATGTGTAACCTGGTTCATCTTATCATAGAAGTGCCCTTGCTGTGAGTATCCTTCCATGTCAGGCAAATCTGTCTTCCTTTCATCTGCAAGGGTTGTTTGGTTTCTACATCAAGAGCTGCCAAGCTCAGTTTTGTAGCCACTAATGCTCACTGATGCATTTTTTGGGAAGTTGCTTCGTAGGAAATGGATAAATGCTGCTGTTTAAAGACTGTCAAGGTCAGTGACTATTAAGTCCTCTGTAGTGGTCTGTGGCTAGACATAGGGCTGCTGCTTTGCTACATTTGTGTTGGATTTTTCCATTTTGTATCCACTCAGTTTGGAATTCCCAATCATTTCTCTTTGTCTCGGCTCCCAGAAATGACTCCTGTACAGTATGGGGAGAATGGGGATGAAGACCCATCAGTCTGCAACCTCCATAGTTAATTTTTTTTCCCAATAGTGGAGCTAATAGTCATTTTTCATACTAACATCAAGTCTGTCTCCACCTTGGGACTTACAGTACAGGAGCAAGGAGACCTCTGGCTGACTAATTCCAACCATAACCCTTGGGGAGGTGCTTAGACAAATTGTTTGCTAATGTCTGTGTGCATCTCCCTGCCACTATTAGCTAATCGCTTGACCCAGCTTCAACATGTGATATGTTTTTTTTAGAATTATTATTCCTGTGGAGAATTAAAAGGTTCATAAGAAACTGGCATTACTTCAGAAAATCCAGTCACCTATGTGATGAGTGAGTAGTGGCATGCAAATCGCTTTAATGACTAGCCGCCTTTTCAGCCTCATATGGCCTTGGGAATGGTATTTTGCCATTTAGTATTGTACCATGATGACAGCATTTCCGTGTAGCACATAATTTTTATTAAAATGCTTCATTGCAACATATGAGAACTACCTTCTGTTCTGTCTGCACATGTATTATGACTTCAATTTATAGTAAATGGTAAAGTTGTTATATTTGTACCTGCCAAAATACAGCTCTGTTGCATTCTTATTGGAATTGTTAATATATTAAATGTTGTTGAGATATTGCAAGAGCAATATGGTCCTAAGTGGAGATTTTTGAATAACGTGGTCAAACATTTGAACGAAACAAAGCACATGGGAAATTAAGAGAAGTACGTTTTTTTTGTGACTTCTTTTACATTCAAGGAATAATGTTTGGAAAAATGGGATGAGACAGTGTTTAGATTTCCCTAGCACACCTTATTCTGAATGTGCCTTGGGATGGGACAATAAGTGTCAATAGATTAAATTTTCGAGATGATACTAAACAAAATATTTCTGGATCTATTTTGTAGATTAGCAGAAGTGTAATTAAATGTCAAGAACAGATAAGTAGTTTTTAAGCAATCCACCTATATTATTTGCGATTACTCAGTGTTCTTGATTACCATATGTTCTTTAATACAAAAAACAGTGCCCTTTCCAGGTAAATGCTTCCAAGTCCTTGTAAAGTTGATAGGTTCCCTGTATGTTTGACACGTCAGTAGGTAAAAGTAAATATAGTGTACCCAATTCCTTCACTTCCGAGATTTCATCTGGTCACCTTGTAAAGATCTTCTTCAATCATGAAACAGTTCCCCAACTGAAGCATGGACACAGAAGAGATGACCATCTCTGGGATACACAGCTCACAGCTCCCATGTGAGCTGCCGCATTAATTTGGGGCGCAACATTGTATCTGTTGTGCTAAATCTTGTATGGGTTTTCCAACTAGTGTTCGGTGCACACTGCAAACACACAGTCTAGAAGTAAACAGTGCTGTCATATTACAGGAAAATAGCAGTGACATATCCTGTAATGAGATTCGCTAATTTTATTTTTTAGGAAGTGGAATTCCTTTTTTTTTCCCAAAGAAGTTCACATTGGGAGTGTTTTCCTGATCTCAGTCTATTGTTTCCTCAGAATTATATACCTTTTTTAGGCATAAAATGATTAGAAATAATGTCACATACTAGCCACTGTTTTGGTAATTATTTGGAAAGTATGTCGAGGTGTACTTTTTGCTCACCTGAGAAATGGAAGTACAGGTTTTGTCTGTTTTTGAAGGTGGTTTTCCATTATTGACTTCCACTCTTTCCCCAGCAGGGCTTTCGTGCCAGTTAGGATTTTATTTTCCTTTGCTCTCATCACCATGCATTAGATGGATATTTTTGGCAGGGGCAATGAAAAGCTGATGAAAAGGGCAGGGGTTCCAATTGCACTGAAACCCGCCTGCCACAGGTTCAGAAAGTCAGTGAATAAGAATTATTCTATTTATTTAAAGATATTTTGTGTGATGGAAGACAGAGATCACATATGGAATAAGACCAAATATAAAAGGTGATTGATAAAGACTTTACTGAGATACAAACCCTTTTGTTGGGGAGAGTGTTGTTATATTTCAGATGTATCTCATTGCTCAGTGATTGAGAGGACTTAAAAGTGTTATTTGACATCCACTGCCTTATAATTGTTTCTATACAAACAGGTAGACCTTTTGTAGAATTTATGCCGTTCAGGATTACAAAACCAGTTATTTTATCATCGGTCCTTCAAAATCCTTATTTGTAAGTCCATTAAAGTTTTCTTACCTTGTGTCCCACAAGGGCTTTCAAGTCATTTTGGATCATTTCATTCTGAGTCCTCCTTGTGGGGCCATTAAATCTGTTAGTAGATCGAACGTAACAGGAAGTCATTTTCATTATGAGCACACCTAGTAGTCTGAAAGCCATATGGTTAATTTAACGGGAAAATGCATTTAAAAATCACTCAGAGGTTGACAGCTGGATAATGAATTTTTAGCCGCCCTGCTACACAGCAGTTTGAAAGCAACCACTTTTGCATGTATTCTACAGAAGACTGACCGAATATAACTAACTATTCAGGGGCACTCATAGGTCAAAGGGCATTGTAGATTTTATTTTTCATGAAACTAATACACCTATGCAGGTGATGATCTGGGCAAAGACTTTTCATAGAGGCAACAGCAATACTTAAACAGGGTCCTTAGCACGTTGTTGCTTTGGTATTGGAATCAGAATGCCTTTATCTTTTTACATTATCCCTAGGAAACAGATTGTTTGAAAGGTTTTTGTAAGTGGAACCTTACAAAGATCTACATGCAGTTTTGAAATGGCCATTGTTCCAGGGTCTCAATGCTATGATACAAAGGTTATCTGATGTGGGTCCCTGTATGTCATCAGCAGTTTTTAACAGTGGTGCGCTGGACACACCCCTGCGGCTGCTCTGCTCATGACAGGGACAGGATAATGCTGATATTTTGGGAGAGAGCTGGTCACACATGGTCCTTTGAAGGTAAAAGTTCCCAACGCAATGTGGGATCATTTTGCTGTGAGTATTTTAGAAACCCGGGGTACTTGGAGAAGATATTTCAAGCTTGTGACATTTGACTAAGAGCCAAATTTCAGGAAATGCCCCCAAAAGAGACCGTTGATTGTTTTCGTGGAAGAGTCCCTCAGCTCAGGTCTGATCTTTGTACACTTGCACAACTTCCTTATCAGATAGGACCCATGTAATTCATTCTGACAGAGGAAATTATCAGAAGTGCATAATTAGACACAAGGCAAGCTTCGTCCTTCACTTTTACATTTTAAAACATCAGCTGCACTTCTGACTTGGCATTGTGTGGCACTTCCTATTGATAGTTATAGTACCTCTTACTCATGTTTAAAATTAGATTTTTTTGGAAGGTCTTGGTTTTAACTCCCACACTGTGTTATGGTTATTTATTGTCCGTATTTTGCCACAGTACTGATTTTACCTTTAATTTTTCAAAATATTTTGTATATATCAGAGTATTTTGTTCACTATTTGCAATCACGTCCAAATGAATGCCCCTTCAACCCACATCTTTTTTCCACAGCCATTGACCTGATCCTTTAATCATGATGGCAGGGGTGATTTGATCATTAAAACTGTCTTTTTTTCCTTCAGAACAGGTAGTTTTGCATGGCTTTCACCATCAAATTGAACGTTCAGTAAATCTGTGTGGCATGTTCCATCCTGGACCACAAAAATGGGTCAGGAAGAGCTGGTCTGTTGGTGAAAGTTTAAAGTCGGTGAAATGTTTCCTTGTCCTACTCGGAAAGTACTGAGATTCTTTTGGAAATAAAAAATTACCCTGAGGTCACTTCAGGAGTCTGATCTCGGCCGGTTCTGTTATTTCCTTCCCTTTTCTGTGCCATGAGACTTCGGCAAGCAGAGCCTGGAAGTTACAGTACCTTTTGTTGTGGTCGTCACAGATTGTCATTTTTCTTTTCTGTTTTTTTTTCTAAATTTTTAAATTTGTGATCTTTAAAGGTGCTTAATTTGATTGCTTAAGTGTATTCTGGAGGAAATTGCTCCATCGTTTGACACATAAAACACCTTTTAAGTGACCTCTACATTATTATCTCATAAAACAAACTTGCTCCTTCTATAAACGCTTTGCCGGTTTGCTGTGACATCCAGTGCCGTCCAGTGCTAAGCTTTTGGTTGCTGTTTTGCCAAGAAATGGAAGGCTGCCCGTTTTCTGTCATGGTTGGATTTGAATCCAGGGTGGCAAACATGGATTCTGGGTGTCTGAAAAACCGTTCTTCATATCCTCTTCTCATCAAACCTCTGACCATGACAGACTGTCAAGATGGGACCTGTGAGGGCAGTCCCCTCAGTCCCATTTCCCAGCCTTCTGCATAACCTTTCGCCATCCTGATCGCTGCACAGGAAGGACGACATTTAAACCTGCTTCCTGTGCGATTTCGAGGGCTGCGATTAGCAGTATGTTTTCTGGCCCGACTGGGAGTGACATCAGCTTTACAAGCGGATGAAACTGCAGATATGGCGAACAATAACTGGCCTCCTTGTCGTGGAAATGCTGCTCAGTGGTGAGAGTGGACCAAGTTTTCTTTCACTAAAAAAAGCAGGTAAAAAAAGACAGCAGATCTTAAGCACGGCCCATTTTGTAAATCCCACAAGCATAGTGCCGTGGAACACTTAAATTTAACTGTACAATTTACACTTTTCAACTAATGAAACGCCACATTTGAACAGTCTTTGAATTAATTGTAAGAGCAATACATATTTTCAGGTTTTATTCATAATTGAATGTAAGCATGGTTAGACTAGTCTAAGTTTTTTTTTAAAGCACAATGTATCAAAAACTATGTATTGGTCTGTAGTATGGGATTTAAAGTCATGTATTAAAACATCCTTTTATACATTGACTTTGCTTCTTGAAATACTTTCACGTTCATGAGTAATGTAATACACAGCAAAAAAACTTACCTGCATGCCCGTTCAAATGCTCCAAGAAAATAGTTTTTGCACATCAGTTTTTCTGTCTAAAAGGCATATAGTACTGTTGATCTATGTTGGAACATTTCAGTCAGCATTTAATTTTTATGTTTGCACCTCATAATTTTTTAAAAGGCAAAGTATTTTAGCTGTAATGTATTTTGTGTGCTGTGCATTGTTAATTATAATTTTAAAGGGGTTTAAGGTACTTTAATAAAAGCATATGCTGTATACTGTATATCATTTGTTGACAGTATTATTAGAACTTAAGGCTGTGTCATACAGGTGACTTTAAACTCCCTGTAGCTTATGTTCTTGAGTTCAAGGTGCAACAAGCCACTAGTGTGGATGTGCTCGGCAGGCAGTGTCCTGGACAGTATCCAAAAACAGTGTACTGTCCTTCATCTCACCTTGGCTGGGTCACACTGGTGAGTCTAGTTGAGAGGGAAATTGATGCATTCATTCATAGGTATAGATGAAAATGAAAGAAGAAGGAAAAATGAAAACAAAAAGGAAATGCTGATTGCATAGCACACCATTGTGACCAATTCTGTGTAAATTAATGTTTTACAAGTAATGAAATTCTGAGGCTCTGAAGGTGGTCAATAATGTCATGGGTGTAGGAAGTGAGGAAGAGTCAGCTGTGCCAAAGAGACCAAAACTTCCCCTTGACTGATTCAAGAATGTAAGAAAGACCGTAAAAACCACGGGGAAAGACGAACAAATCCTGGTAAAAATAGTTAATCATGTTAGAAAGCGAAAGGTGCCAGTGCCAAATAGCAGCACAGGGTAGGAAAATGAACGTGATAGCCGATGAAATAAAAAGGAAGGAACGAACAATAGGCATTGCTGGGACGGGAACAACATTTCAATCTGATACCTTTGTTGGCAGGCACTGAGGCGTGGAAACTAAAGCCGCACGTTTCTCAAGCATAAATATACAAGTGGAATTTTAAAGGTTCGGTGAGATAAAAAGAGCAAAACAGTGCGAGACTGAGGAAAGTTCGGCTTACTGCTTTGCCCATTTGTGAATGTTCATCATCTATAAGAGTTGCCACAGATTTGTCTTGAGCAGGTGCTCTTGCTGTAATACATTATTTTTAGGGGAGGGTTATGAAGCATTTAGTGCTAAATAAATGGCAAGTTATAAAATCATTGAGGAAAGTGTCAAGTTCACTTTGTAAATTGGATATACGTTTTTCTAATCCTGACCTGGGCTGGAGTGTGTGTGGTTTACGCATCACTTCATTTTATATATTGAAGTACTTTTATGTGTGTTCATTATGGAAAGGTTTGGGAAATAAATATTCCCTGATGGTTCATTTATCACCATGTCCATTTATCAGTTTAAGGACCTGTGCCCTAAACTCTCTAGAATGTTCTCTTGGCCTACACTTGACCTGGGTAAAATTGTTGACTTTTATGACCTCTGTATTCAGTACAGTACTGCAGTACAGCTTTATAAAGGTAAATTAGATTATTTTAATTGTAGAAGGGTTTTGTTTTATTTTAATTAATTATTAATTTAAAATAAATTAATTAGTGGGCATCATTGTGGACACATGGTTATTAATCCTCTCTTGTAGAAATTTAATGAAAATGACTTACCTCTCCAATAACATAACAAAAAACTAAAACATATAGTCGTAAACAGGTAATAAAATGGATTGTGATTTGCAGTCACAGTTGAAGGCAGAACTATTTAGTTAGGTTACTGAGATAATCCATCAATGAGTGTTACTGAGGTAATCTATATTATGTGCTCTTGGTGCATTCATCTTATTCCTTGCTGCAATTTGATCACTGTCTTTCAGTCATACTCCCAACCCCAGGCAAACAGCACCCTCCAACAGTGGCCAGGTCTGCTCTGCCAAAAGGGTGGCCCCCTGTTGTGCGAGTTTTCAGTGTGATTGGTTGTCCTAAGGGCTTACATCACTGTAACAAGCACATGTGGCGAATGTGCTCTGTTACAGTTGCGTAAGTGCAGTGTACTATTTGTTTTTCCATGGTAAAAATGAAGATTGATAACAGATGATTTCTCCATTGTGAATCCGAAGTTAAAACCACACTCGAACCAACTCTTAATGTTGCTTGGTTGACATAAACTTTAAATTGTGCACAAGATGTGAAGCCCTGTTTTACTACATGTATATTGAATGGTAACATTGACGCCAAAAAGTTTTTTTCGTCAGGCAGCATTCTAGTAAGAAAGTGTGTTCTGTCTTCCCACATTGTTAAAAGCTCTTGAGTGTTTGTTAAAGGTGTCATAACATCCAGATATGGATTCAATATAAACCAGTGTAATTTGAATGTGTTTACTTTTAAAGCTGAAATGTGATACCGAGTATAATGAGTTTTTACTACATGGGAGAGTCGTCATCAAGGTGGTGTGAACCAGAGAGAATGAAACAGCAGGGAAAGAGAGATCAATTTTACAGCAGCTCCGAATTCCAGCTTCCTCCAGCTCTCTCCCCTATCTCTCAGACACTCAGAGGTTACTGTGTGTCGTCTGACTCACTGCCTGCTCCAGGGGAACACCAGCCAATGTAAATGTTGATAATAGGACGGCAGGTCGCAGGTCAGAAAACAATCTGGCACGTTGAAGAGTGCCTGTAGCCCAGAAACAATGCAGAGCTGCGGGCTGACGCCAGCCCCATGTCAGGATCCTGCTGAAGTGTAATTAATTACACCCTTCAAGCTCAATGTGAGCTCTCAGGCTCCTCAATACTCAGTGTATTGATTCTGATTCCATCAGACTGCCAGTCTTCCTGTCTGACGATAGACTGCTGAAAGGAGAGTTCTGTGGTCTTTTTTCTCCTCTTTTGTCAAGCAGTGCCACTAATTTTTACGGTAAAGATAACCGGCACAGATCAATGCGTGGGTGATTTGTCTAGTCTGGGGAGACCTGTCTGCATTTCGCTGCCCTCTGGCTTGAATGTAATGGTCTTAGTTCACCTCCCAACCCCTTTCTCTTGAATGTCAGAATGGAAGATTACGGGCTTGGCGCCAAGCTGCCAGTCTAGGGTGATCCACAGACCATGCCACACCGGCCTTGGTAACTGTACAGTAAGAGCATCAAGGAGGGAGGACTGACAGGTGGTTAAATACCTTCTCACATCACTGTAATCTCCTGTGAACTGTTGCTCTGAAGGGAAACACTATGCATTACTCAATTTAAGCCCTTCAAATTTAAACAATAGATTAGGATTCCTGTTTTGTTTTGTTTTTTTTAAGCAACTTGATTCCGTTTCTCTTCCTTCAGTGTTTTTCATTGTGCTTATAATGATCACACTGCCACACTTTTCATACGAGTTCGATCTGTTGTTTTCAAGTGTACTTGCCTGCGTCATTTGTGACCCCCCAAAAAGGAAAAGCACTTTTGGTCTAGATAAAGAACATCCTGAAAACATTTTTTTTTTTCAGAAAGAACTCAAACTGACTAATTGTTTACCGTCCCTTTTCATAATTTCAGTGTTGACATTTTGAAGCTTTCATCTCGCATGTATTCATTTTTTGTCAACCTGGAGGTTGAGATCTGAGGTCTTACCTGCGCCACTGTCAGTAAAACTGTTTCCTTATTTTGTTTTACTTTCGTTTTTGGTCCTTCTGAAATAAAAGAACTGTGTACTTCTTTATTTATATAGTATACTTTAATCTTGAAAACTATATCCTGAAACCTTAGTGGAAGTCAAGACTTTTCTTGCTTGAATTGATTCTTGCTTTCTTTCTCAAGTTTTTTTCTTATTTCTGTGCTTTTTCTTTTCCCTTATAAACAAGTCCCATCATTCGTGGTCCACTGTGGGGTAAAATTCCATTGCTCTGGTAAATTCTGTCATTTTCTGTTATTCAGATCGAGGCTTTCTAACATACATCCGCTGTACTAATGTAAACCAGAGAACGTCATTGAACTTTGAGCTGATTGAATTGACATCTTTTTTTTTCTCTAGGGACATCACCTACAGCATCCTGTTTGAAGCAGTGACCACTGTCCTGGTCCTACTTTCTTCTCAGCTGTTTCACAAGGAAGTATTGAGGGATAGTCTCATTTACAAGTACCTGATGCAAGGTCGTTGGTGAGTGGGATCATTTGTTTTTCTCGAGTTCCGGTTTCAGACAGTAACCTCACCATTGAATTCTGTGCTTCATTATACCCCAAAACTGTTCCTGCCAGAGGAGGCCATTGCATATAATCTGCATGACATATTGATGTGCATGTTACTGACATACAAAATAACGTTCCCACACATTCTGAAATGCTTCCATAAATGTATTTATTATTGTACTGAAAAAATAGAGATTTTGAGATTAATGCATATCTCTTTAACTCTCCTTAGTATGGAGTTACTTCTGTTGTGCCAAAACTGTTGGAATGTTAATCATGTATACTATTATCTATACAAAATCATATTGCGGTATTACTGGTTTTTAGTTAATATATAGAGACATGTAAACAGTATTTGAATTGTATAGTAATCATATTGTAAAATACTATATACGAGTCAAAACGTTAACCTTGTTGGCATGCAGTATTAAAAAATGAGATGACTTGGAAATCAGTTTAACAAATATTTTATTTTTCATCTTGAGTGTTGTGCAGATATGGTAAGACAATGTGAGGAAAAAGATTATGGGGAAATTCTGCAACAGCCGCTTAAAATAGTAGATAAGGAGACTGCTAATGTAATATCAGACCAACTAGATATTTTTTACCAACTTGGAAAAGAAGACCAGTATTTTAACAGTATTGTTGTTTTCAAAAGTAATCTTACAAGACAGACTTGAGAAATCTAAGAAATCTCTTTGAATGAAAAGGGTTAAGTTATGACAGCTGCTATGGAAAGGCAGCGGTGATTCTGCCAAAAAGACATTCTCAAGGTGATACACCTTGATTAAAATATGGTATTTACCATGTTTTTTTAGTACGGCTGTTTTGCATGTTTTAGGAATTTGTTATTTTAGATTTTGGAAATAGCTGAAATTGGATTGTTTTTGAAAGCTCACTAGACATTGATATCTCTGTTACAGAGCAACATTAGCAATTTCCCTTTCTGGGAGAATCTTAAAAATTCACCCAATGTCCTCATAAAGAAATAGGCACAAAAAAACAAAGTATATGTTTAATAATCACAAAGGCGTACTGAAATGTGATATGTTAAGAGTGCTACATAGTGATTTTTTGATAAAGTATGTGAATTATGTTTAGTTGATCAATTTCAGTGCTTTACAAGGGCACTAGTTCCAAATGAGAATTCAACACGAAATAACTGTGATTTAAAATAAAAGTGATCATTATTATGACCAACTAATAAATGCTGAAATCTTTTGAAGAGTCCCTCACCACTTTCTAAAACAACATTTTTTTTCTTTCCACGTGCTGATAATTTCCACAATTTTGGCAGCTATTTTCTAAATCTTTTGCAGTATTTGTACTATGTTCTGATAAAAGGACAGGGCTTCTACTACAAACCCTTACCAGGATGCTTGCTTGCCCCAGCCATAGACATCTCCCAAAAGCCAAAGAGTGACTGGAGGATCTGTTTGTTTAAAATAGACAGGATATACTTAGCCCAAAGCCTTGTAGCTTGTGCCCTATAGACTAGTGACTTATTATACCTGATGTGGGCTTACAACTTTTTTTTTTTGAGAATATGGCAAATTTGACCAGAGTTGGAGCATGGCCTGCCACAGAGAAGGCCGAAAAAGTTTATCACTTTTTTTTCTTGTTTTCTTTGATCTGGCTTTCAGTTATGACATTGACACAGAGCATGCAGCATACACATTTTAAACCACCTTTTCTAGACAATTCTACAGTCTGTGAAAATCAGGGTAGTTCTGAATGGTAAAATCAAAAGAATTGGTTTGTTTTGTGCATTGCAATATTTTGAAATATGAAACAGCATGTTTTTTAAAAAAATGACTGTGACTAGCTTAGTATTGTTGTTGGAAACTTTAAAGTAAAAGCTAAAATTCTGCCTATGAGAGTTTGTTTTAATGTGCTTCAGGGAGTAGCTATAAATTTATGCTCTTGCTTCATTCTTGCTTGTGGTAAAAAAATATTAATATAAGATAAATTAGAAATAAACAGACAAGAAATATGTTAATCTGAGTCCAAAGTGCACATACAGTAATTGGTTTATTTTAAAGCCCAATCCAGTTCACCTTGCTGGCATTTCAAATATTGCAATGTTTCTGTACGTCGGAACTTTGTAAGTGCTATTTTAACCCATGGTAAAGTGCATTGCATCTCTGATTGCATTTGTTTATTCACAGTTTACCACTCACCAGTAGACTGGTGAAGACTTTGCTCTACAACTTCATCCGGCAAGAGAAGTGTCCACCTCCAACTACTCAAATCTTTGAGCCACAGGCAGAAGGAGGACTTCTGTATGGACTGGCTTCAGGGGTTGCAAGTGAGTACTGAAGAATGAACTAAATCTTTAACGAACCTCGGGACATGCACACAAAGCTACTGCACTTTGCACTCTGTGTTTTAGCGATGGATAAATAAAGCCTGTAATTTATCTAGTAGGTCCAGCAGCTTGACTTGTCTCTCATCACACTAGTGACATTGGTATTACTTAGGTGGGGCAGGAGATTGGGTGAGCAGCGAGCTCCTATTTTCTGCAGTTGTTTTGGCAGTCTATTGTAATGTTGTGTGTGTAAAAAAAATCTATTATACAACTTTAAAGGAATCTGCAATTTAAATACTTAGAAATGAAAACTCACTGTGAAAACAAATGAAAATTATTCTTGTTCTGAGCACTGCCTGACATTGTTTCTCAGATACAGCGGCTCACACAGCAGGAAAAGATTACAGCATTCCTTTGGGGTGGTTTTAAAGGCTCCGAATTGGGTTCCAGATAGGATTGTCACTTTTTCAAGAAATAAATTGAAATATTCATCATTCAAAACTCTGTGGGGTTTTGTTTCCACAAAGGAGTTACATGAAAACGGTTGTAGTCAGTCTATAATGAAAATTATAGAATAATGAAAATGCAAAAAGTGTCTGATGGATTCAGAACTTTTTTTAAAGAAATGAATGCCAGCTTTACAGCAGTAAATTCCATTGGTCCTAGTTGTATGTGCATGTAAATGTCATGCCATCTCCTTATGGCTTGGCCAGTCACTGAACCCTGTTGATTGTCTTTGACTGATCCATCTGAAAATGTCTATGTAAATCCTCACACTCCCTAATACAGATAAACAAATTACCAAGTATTTTATTTAATGTGACATGTCCCCCTAATCAGTTCGATCTACCTGTGAGACTCCAGAAAGCCTTGAAAAAAGCTGCCACAACTTTGTCAAAAAGGGTACTGATTCTATAGTAGTGTCCTCAGTTCTGATGTGTTGTGTCAGCCGCTAAATCTTTACACCTGAAATGAGCAAGTGACACCTCTCAAATGGGAGAGATGATTTAGACCTTTACTGAATTGGCCTCTTGAGCGACTCATTTCAGTTCATCTGTGGTATTATGAACTCACTTGAACAAAATATTAGTTTTAATGAAGTCACTTGAGTGTTTTATAAACTCGCTCTCAAGCTTGGTCCGTTTTACATCCTGTAATTTGTAGAATGTGAGCAGAACACTCCTGACAGTAATGCATTGCCAAGGCAACCGACGCCTACTGTGATGTGCGATACCTGTTCTCTGAAGTCCTGTGCAGTTTCTTTTCAACTCTTAGCTTTAAATGAAAGTTTTAGTGTATACTGTAGTCTCTGGATCCTAAAATCTTGTTTATTGCAAGAGAGGACAATTTAAATCGCTGTGTTTTTGCATATTCCTACTACATTTCTAAAGAAATATTATTAATGAAAACTGGTCTCAGAGTAATGTGGTAGTGGCAAAAATGGAAAATGTAAGTAATACAAATCGCTTTTCTAAGTGGAGCCCAATATAAAACCCTACTAACAGTTAAAATCAGAAGTTTTTATAAACTGTACTGACTATAAAGTAAATAGCAATTTGTGTCCAGCTGTGTTAATCTACCTTGCCAGTACTTGGAAATATAATTAGTGTCATCGGTGTAGGTAAGTCTAACAGTAACTCACTACAGTTCACTTCCCAAATGCTTACGTCAGGTACAGTATGTGAGAATAGAACTTACAGCAAGGAGATCATAATGCCAAGGATCATCTTTTAATGGTGAGATTGTGTTTTTCAGAGTGTGAATGCTGCCTGTGTCACTCAGTGATGGAATGGTTTGAACTTTGTAAGCTTCATCTCTAAAGTGGTACTTTAACTTTATTGGAGGATATATCTGCATTCTTGTGGTCTGAGATGCAAAGACACACACACAGACAAATCACCCACATACACCCATTCTGTCAGACAGGCGGTGTCTCTAAATTACATGGGCTTGGCGGCTTTGCATGTCTTCTTGTCTTGTTCATTTGACAGAACTCGCTGTCATATTTATTCCTCCTCCAGGAGGCGATGCACTCATATTCATGACATATTTCAGCTGCTTGAGAAGATCAGCCCCCTCTGCAGCTTCTGTTCACAGGGAAACGGAGTCTGAGATGAAGTCACACGTGTCATTAAAAAAAAGCCTTCCAAACTGTAATCTTTTCAGGGTGTTGCTGCAAACCAAGGAAGACCAATGAAGCCTCTGTAAAATGGGCATTTTGCAAGAGTCCTTGTTTCACTCATGCTATGGGACTCTTCCCAGACATTTCACAAGGCTTTAGAAAGGTCAGCAGAAGGTCTGATTAGCATTTTTTGCTGCCCTGAGAATATTTGGTGCAGACTGTTATGAGTTGTGGTGGAGAGGGCTGACACTTCGGGCCTTAATATTTTTTCATGTTACATACTCAGAAGGTCAGGGAGATTTTCCAACACTGTGTGGTAAGATTAATAAAATCTGTACCTACACAAGTATTTTAAGCCGCACGTTTTGTGTAAAGGCCTGTTTGTGTGCTGATCAATTTTCAGCTGCTAAAGGAACATTCTATTTTCTTATGGATCCCCTCACTTTTCATCTTTCATTTGTCTGAAGACATTCATTTTCACAATTATGAAGAATAGATCTGGAAAACTAAGTGTCACTATAGCATCTCTGTTTGCAAGATCCTGCTTTGGGACTTATATTTTTGGGAGATGGTTCTTTGATGCACCTTCCTACACAATTAAGTGTAGAGAGATCCTTTAACAAATTAAAACTGGCACACAGAAATTAGTTAGAATTTGTTATTAACAGTTTTATACCATCATAAGTGGTATACTAAATCTTGCTTTTGACGGTATGTTATTATAAGCAATTGTAAATTATTTACAAAATTGACAGTGAGATGTAAACCCAGAGGAGTGTTAACAAAGTAAATTAGGTTTTAGATGTATTATGGACACTTTGTACCATCATGAAGTGTGAATTTAAGAAACTCAAGCATTGAGGAAGTTAAAGTACAGTATACTGTACTTATATCAATCTATGCTCTCGGCCCCAGTTTCAAATGTGAAGTTATTGCTGAAAGGAACTCCTGTTGCTTTTCCATTTTTACATTGTAAAGTTGGTGTTCTTTATAACCACTGTTTAATTTCTGATGTAGAAATAAACTTTCTGTTCAAAGGATTGAGAACATGCTAGAAAAGTATATTGCATCTAGTATTTTACATGTTCCAAAGGAGTGGCTGGAACTAGATATTTCTGAATATTTATTAACACGCCATTAATCTCAGCCTTTACAATTTAATGGGATCATTTAAATAAAACAAAAATATATTCTGAGATGAAATAATCCATGAAGCTCCTCCTGCAACTTCACTTCTCTTTATGTTTTTTTGAGTTGCCAAATCTTAGCTATTGACTTTTTTTTCCTTTAAAGAAATCATTTCTACCCTGCTGCTTTGTCTTGGCTGTTTTGTGAATCCAGACAGGCCAATATAGATTTAAATGCGTTTTAAAATCTGAAGGCTTTGGATATTCATCCTTACCATGTAAAATCAGGCAAACACTGTATATGCCTGATGGCAGGTATCCTCTGTAGATGTTTTATCAATAGACTTTTCAAATTCTCATTCCAAAGCTTTTACCTGGCCTCTAAGATTATTTATTGTCCTCCAGTGTCTTGTGAAATAGACAATTGAAATCGATGATCAGAGCCAAAGAAAGCAATTGTTCTTATCTTCGTGGTAGCCATGACATTCAGATATTAGTCTACACTAAAGTTGTTAGTGTTGAGCCAAGAAAGATATCCAAAATGGTGCATTCAGATTGTCCTTTTTTTTCTCCTGGATCCTGGTATGTACATGAAACACATGTCTATATCAAGGCTCCTGGGGACCTTCAGTATCTCAGTATGACAGCAATCTTAGTCATCAGAACAGCGTCCAGGTTGAACTTTTATCTGAGAAGTACTCATTTCTCAAGCTAAAGACTAAACAGCCGTAAGGCTTATTCTCAAATGGCTAGTACAGTATTGTTGTAATTCATTATTACACCCATTGTGTATTATGGGCTTTATTCTCATATTTCTTAAGTTAATGTACTGAACAAATATCATAATGATACCCAAAAAGATGCAATTCACATTTTTCGTTTCAAGTAGGCCCTATTTAATCATGATAAGGTACAGTCTGTGTGCATCGTAGTGAAGTGTAGTGAATACTATGCATTAACGTTTGTTTTTCACACTTTGGGATCACCACCTGTGATTGCTGCGACTGGAACGGAAATATGACAGCAGTGCTCCGATTGTATTGCTGCTGTTTCAAACACCTGGTCATTTGATCTTAGACAATAGTGTAAGTCATTGTCCTAACAGAACAGCCTCGGTCTTCTGTAAGGAATTGATAAAGAGACAAGTACAATTAAGCACTTTCTACTTATCCAAAAGCTGTAGCAGAATCAGCAAAGAGATGACTAGAAGTACACATTTACATTTATAGTGTATATCACGGGTAAGATGCATTCTTACTGCTCCATCATCTTTAACTTTAACTGCTATTGTGTTTTTTGTGTCCTTCAGTGCGGTTCTGTGAGTCCTTATGACAGTGATGAAGTATGCTTTATTAATTTAGCTTGGGGCTCTGACCTTTTCTCTTTAGCTTTAGAGTTACATGCACATGATGTGACCAAGTCTTGAGTGGCGACTCTTTTTAATTACCGAAGTAATGTGATTTCACGGGGCAAGAAAATCTTGCACATCAGTTCGCTGTGGGTTTAAACAACAAAGTGCCTCCATAGTCAGATCACGGGATTTTGTTTAATCTGTTTTTGCTTCCTGTTACCTAGCTCAAAGCCCCACTAATCAATTGTCTGTTTTATAATCTATCTGCTACATTTTCCAATCTACTTATCTGAAACTTTGAAGGCTTGCTGCCACTCAACTGATAATTTCCTTTCACTCTGGTACAATGTACTGTATCTGTGCAGCCCTAAGAAAGACACTTTGTGGAGTGGCAAAGTGC